AAACCATTACTCATTGAAACCTGCAATCACCTGGCTGAAGCCAGGAACTCCACGGTTGGCAGCGCATGCAGTTACATAGTGACAAATAGTTTACTTATACTCAAAATCAACTTTTACTAAACACAAACTAATATTGATTAAAATATTAAGAATACAGAATTAAAAGATCATAAATGAAAGGATTTTATAAAAGCATATAACATAGATTCTTTGCTAAATTTTATAATCAAATCATGTATTAATTACGGTCACCTTCACCTAGTGCTGATTCAATTGTTTTTTATTCTTTTGTTAAAGGGCAGTGAAAGGGTTCAAGGCAATTCAGCTAATCTACAAACAGAGGGCCTCTTACAAGAAACTTCCTTTCATCTATATAAACTATTTTCTTTCCCTAAATATAAATGCCAATATAAGATAGAAATTTTTATAAATTGTTTTCTTTCCCTAAATATAAGTGCCAGTATAAGATTGAGATTTAAGCCATTTTGAGGGGGTTTTGTTTTGTTTCCTTTTAGAAGATGCCCCACATATTTTGCTTTCTTGTGCTAAGAAACTAAAATGCGTCATATCATGTGTTGTAACAGTTCGAGGTGCATGGTAACAAACTCTTTGTACCTCCATGATTTCCATCTGTTGCAAGATATTATCAAGCCATTTATTAAGGAAAACATTACTTATACTAGGGCAAACTTTAGGACAAAAGTGGGCACATAACAGGATGTTTGGAAACATAGTGGGCTCAATTATATTATTGTATACTTTTAACTGTGTGTCATAGCCTTATGTTACTACAGGTGTTTTTATCATAACAAAATAGATCAATTTGAGGTGTCATACCAGTTACAGGAATCACTTCACATTAGCAGAAAAACAACACCCTCAGAAGAATTCTATGAAACATCAGAGAGGTGATTGAGTTCCATACAATGGGTGAGGCAGCAATGAGGTGACCAGAGACATTCTGCTGGGCCTTGCCTCGCAGCTAGAAACTCCTCGCAGCCTTGCTAACTGAGGAGCGGTGCTCATCACACACCCACGCCATCCGACCCAATTACACGGCTCCCCACAATCATGGGCTTTATTTGCTTTGTTCAAGTGAAGACAACCAACGCTGCCACACAGTTTCATACATTACTGTAGTTTTAGGAATAAAAGTTGCCTCAACTAGGTTGTGAAGTACTTTTAGTAAGTATGTAGGAGAGAGGCTGGTGCTATGTCCCAGCTGCTCCAGTTTCAAACCAGCTCCCTGCTTATGACCTGGGAGGGAAGCAGAAAATGGCCCAAGTCTTTCAGCATCTGCACATACTTGGGAAACCTGGAGTAATCTCATGGCTCCTGGCTTCAGATTGGCTGGAGTGAACCAGTAGATGAAAGATCTCTCTCTCTCTCTCTCTCTCTCTCTCTCTCTCTCTCTCTCTCTCTTTCCCTCTCTCTGTGAGTCTGTCTTTCAAATAAAAATAAAACAAATCTTTAAAAATCTAAGTGCAGTAGGAAACCATTGGGAACGTATGATCATCTCCGTACATTTGGAAGCAGGCAGACCAGGGATTACAAACACATCCATGAAAGTTTAACAAGGACATGGATGTTCCCAGCAGCAAAGCAAACTCCTGGACTGTGTCATTTTCAGCCCCTTAATGATCTCCATGGTGTATCTGTCAGCTCCCCTAGAAATGACAATCAGATATCTTAAGTGACACCTTGTGCATTCTTATCCTTTCTGAATCAACTCAAATACCATCTCTTCTGTGACTTTTCTAAAGGTCATTTGAAAATGACACTTGTATAATGTTACAATTTATAGTGTTCGGGCAGAATGCATTAATCTTTCTTCAAGGTTTCTGTTGCAACAAGATTTCACTTTTGTAAAGCACTTATCACCGTTTATTAAAGGGACTTAGGTATGCTTTCTGTCCTTCTAAATGATGAACTCGCTTAGAAAAAAACATGGAGATAGCAGCTACTCAATAAATATTTAGGGAATGAATGAGTGCATTATGCTCCTTTGTATTTGACTCATTCCTCATTCACTTCAGACTCGGGCTCTGACTCAGCCACCAGCCTGAGATTCTGTCTGCCTCCACTTGCCTATCCACCATGTTGTGAACAGTACTTTAACTATGTTTTGCCCTCTGAGCCTTTCATCAGTCCTGGGAGCTGCCAGGAGGCAGGACCAACTGGCTCCAAAGATCACATGTGAAGTTCCAGTGCTTCAATAATGTTTGTCCCAGCTGTTATTTAGTCCAGACTTCAAAGATTTCTTGATTTATGTGCAGTTAGTAAATATCGCAAGTTCACAGCTGCCAAAAGACCACCCGAACAGCATGAAGCAGTATGTGGCCTAAGTTGGGAGGTCTGCCCTCCAGTTTATTAGGAAAATATCCCTCCTACAGTTTATGATATTGATATTTTATATGATGCCTTTTAAATAAAAGGAAACACTGTTTGGATAAAAAGTCAAATGTTAAATTCAGGACAGACAGATGAACTCCCCTTCAACTTCTGATTATACTCTGTGGTCAGATGATGAAGGAAGCAGATTGTATTCTGAGCCTCTGACTGCCTCACCTGTGGTCTTTTCTGTCCTCTGTCCTGGAAAGTTGTCCTTATTTTATTCCTTCCAAATCTTTATTATGATTGGCCTACACCTATGTACCACCTCTGAGGAAGTCTTCACGTGGATATTAGTCAAATAATTGAAGAGCTAACCTACTAGTCATAAGCACATGTCATGGTGGAAAGATAAATAATGAGAATGGCTGATCTTGCCCTTATGAGTATGAGGTATGTAGCATCCCCTGATGAGGCCATGAGGGATGCAGCCATGACAGAGTGATATGTAAAACAGGGTAGAAAATCATTGCAGTTTACTAACAAAGTTCTTAAGTTAATCCTTTCCTGCCTTCCTGCCACCCTTTCTCTCTTTCTTTCTTCCTTCATTCATTCCATTCCCTCTTTCTGAAATGTTTATTGAGCACTTTCTATATCAGAGGCACTGTCCTCGGCTCAGAGGTAACATCAATGAACAAGAACTGGGTCATAGTCTAGTAGAAGAGAGAGAAGAAATAAGAAAATACCTTAATATGTGCTTTTATATAAAGAAAAACACTGCTGGCATTATGAAAAACAAAAATGAGCAGCGGTATGGTAGTTCATCGAAAAATTAAATATGTAATTACCATATGATCTAGCAATTCTGCTTCTAAGTATATATCCCAAAGAACTGAAAGTTCTCAAATAGGTGTCTGTGCCTTCATATTCTAAACAATAATAACCCCCAAAGAGCGAAAAGATGGGAGCAGCTCAATTATCCATAGATGAGTGGATATATGAAAAAAAAAAGGTGGTATATACATGCATTGGAGTATTATTCAGTTTGAAAAGGAAGGAAATTCTGATACATGCCATAACATGGGTAAAATTTGAGTACATTGCACTAAGTGAAATAGGCTAACCAGTATAAGCACAAATACTGTGTTCGTCTACGTGTGTGAGGTATACAGAGCATCAAACCCCTGGGGGTAATAAGATGGAGAAAAGTGATTTTCCCACAGCTGAGGAAAACTAAGAATGGGCAATGCTTGTCTTAAGAGCATAAAATTGAACTTGAGAGGTTGGAATGATGTGGAGATTGATGGACATTGCACAACAATCTAAACGTGATCAATATCACTTAAAATGGTCAAAATGGTAAGGGTTTGTTACAATTATTTCACCACAATAAGAGAAAAGCTTCAAAAACTGTTCAAAAATTAGACGAAAGACTGGGATAGCCATGTTTGATTGAATGGTCTGGTAAGGCCCCTGTGAGGGACAGATGGCTTTTGCATGGAGTCTGAACAGAACAGAGGTGTGTGAATGATAGAGAGGTGCAGTTTGACATTGTCAGTGCCACCTAGTACTTTTGGGGGTTGACCAGTTAAAGAGTAAGATAGCAATAACATCTGGAGAAGATCGTGCCAGGTACTGAGTGAGTGGTAGGCCAGAAGGACTGAGTCCTGGAAGGGTGCTGACTGACTGAGTACGAGACACAATACAGTCATCTAGGCCAGTGACCGTGGTGGCTGGTGTCACATGTCACAGAAATAGTGAAAAGAAAGAGAAACCTGTTTGGATTGGGCGTATATCTACAAGGTAGATTCCTATGACTCACTAATGGGTTTGATGAGAGGTGAATGAAAGGTGGTGTCTCCATTTTTAACTGGCCTACTTGGTACATTGGGGTCCCAGTCACTGGGATGGAGATGACTAAGGGAGAATCTATTTGAGGAGGAAACAGGGCTTGAAGAGACCATCAGAAAGCATGTGACAAAGTGAGGCCATAAATTCCCCATCCAGCAAGGAAGCAGTGGTACATATTAGAGTGAAAGCATGAGGAATAGCATGGGGAATAGAGGGAAAAGAGATGGCAACTAGTTCTAAACATTACAAACTACATAGGGGAACATTCACGAAAATGATCTAATCACAAGGATCTCAGGCTAGAATGTGGGAGAAACGTATTCCAGTCTCAGCAAATATTTCCAATCTTCAGATGACTTCTCAGAAACAGTCAGTCAGCTTGCCCAGCTTTCAGTGGGACAAAACCGCAAGTCTCTGAGATGACTCCACCCCTCCTCTGCCAATCACTCACGTGCCACCAAGCACAGGTTCCCCGCCCTACCACCACATTGACACACTCCGTCTGCTTCACTGTCAGTGTTGTGGGACTGGCCCCCCAAGCAATGCAGGCAAATTTTCAGATGCCTGTGAGTCCAGAGGTTCACAGGACACTGTTTAAGCCAACCAGAGCCCAGATTCAATCATTTCGTGCAGGTGTGGGCTGGGGTGTAGTTGATCCACCCAGTATCTGACCGATTGCTCTTATTGAGCATCACAAAACAAGAGGAGAGCAATGACTTGCAGGGAAATATATTTCCATGGCCTTAACGATTGGAGAGGGTGCCATGCAAATGAGAAATGCCTGTGAACATACTGTGACAGGCCTTGCCCCTAGGTGATTCCTGTATGTTAACCTCATTTGTGTTGGCTCTTCCACAGGATTGAGGGTTCACAGTCTGCCTACATCAGCCAGCTTGCCTGTTTCTCTTCCGGCCAAAGTGACTCCACCGCTCACCATCTGGACTAGCTCTCCACAAAACACCAGTGCGCTCACTGACCCCCAAGCCAGTGACACTCCCAGCTCCTCTGGCCTCCCCATTGCAGTCTCAGCCCCAACTTCAACACTTCCCAAGAACAATTCTACTGAGCCCAGGGAAGGTGCGGTCACCAGCACAGCCACAAAATGGGAAGCTACAACCCAAGACTCCTCCCCTAGTGGGCTCTTCCCAACAAGCAGCAGAGACCACTCAACGCCTGTCTCTGGGAGGCCTGGCTCAGCCACTCCTGAAACACGTGTTCCAACAACAGAGTCACAAACCCCCATGGAGTCTTCCACAGCTATTTCCCCACAAACTCCAGGCTCCTCCCCCCAAACTCCAGGCTCCTCTGCACAAACTCTAGGCTCCTCCCCACAAACTCCGGACTCCTCCCCACAAACTCCAGACTCCTCCCCTCCAGCCACATCAACTTCACCCCCTGAGATTCCTCCTGCCTCTGTCATCTTGGAGCACAACTCCACTGTGAGCACCCTGCAGCCCAGTGGCACTCCAACCACACCAGCCTTTCCCACAGAGGAGGGCAGCTCTGCCAGTCCATCCACTGCACAGCCCACAGCCGAGCCCATGCCCAAGGAAGGAACGCCCCAAGAAACTGAGTCCGGCATGGTGATGTGTGAATTTGAGACCACCACACCTTTTGTGATTATGCGGGAAGTGGAACACGCCTTAAGTTCAGGTGAGTTTTGTGTCCTAGTGACATACTAAGCAGCTTAAGTCCACCAGGCACCAGGGACTAAGTTTGGATTTCAGCATGCAACACTTGAGCAGAGTTATGGCTGGCAAGAATTCCAATTAACATACACATTTTATTTTGGGTCCTTTAATAATTTCCAGCTGATACAGTGATATTCATTATTGCCAAGGAAGCAAGTGACACTGTAGAGCAAAAGGATACACAGCAAAAAAACAATAATAATAATGATAGTAATAATAATAGGAATTAATAGGATTAAAGCTTTGCTCAAACTTTCTAGGTGTCAACTCTTGACTTCTGACCTTGGGTAGAACCCTTCCTACTTTTTATGTTGTTAGCTTTCTTCACCTGTAAAATGGAGATAAAATATATCTGGCCAATACAGTTCTTGTGGAGATGAAATGAGATGACGTTATAAAACACTTAGAAGAGTCTCTGGAAGGGAGTGAGTGCTCAGAACATGTCAGTCACTGTTCAGTTCTGTATTTTAAAGTGTTTACCTCTTGGAAGCCAGAGTGGAGAGTGGAGCGAGGGTGGAGAGAACTGGCTTATCCTTTACAGTCATGGCTGTACTTCATGGGAAACACAAATATACATTTTACTGGACAGTGCATTTGTTTTATTCTCCAAACAGCTCTATAAAGTTGGTATTTTTTTTTTATCTTCATGTTGTTATCCTGGAAATTAGGATGGAGAGAAATGTTGGGGTTCTCAGAAGCCCTGTGCTTCTGACATCCATGTGGAGACAGAATGGGATTGTTGGGCAGGGCAAAGGTTTATGGGGGTGTTTAACAAGTAGGCCGAACAACACTGATGTGAGAAGCTCAAACTGTTGCCCCCTCCCTGGGTGGCCCTAGGGGCCATGTGGACTATGAACGGGACATCCTGGTCAGAATCAGCACAACCAACTGACTGTCAACATCTTTTAACAAATAATAAACAACCACTATAATTGGCAGCTAGGCTGGACAGTTGAGATGGAAAGAGACAGAACTAAGATAATAAATATCTGATTCCTCCTGGAATACCTCAGATTGTGATAAGGGAAAAACTCCAAAGAGTTACAGATTCCCATCTATTGTTGCTGAGGGTCCTAGTAAGAAAAGTGATGGATATTCATTACAAAGCCCTGGCAGGGTACAGGGGAAGGACAAGGAATAAAACCAAAAACAGGGCCAGCATTGGCGCATAGCAAATTAAGCTGTTACCTGCAGTGTTGGCATCCCTTATGAGTGAATAAATGAGTGAATTTAGAAAGGACGCCTCCTGAATGACTTGGACAGAAGGGAGGGGTGGCAGGCCAGAAGGACACCACTGATCCCAGGTGAGTACATATATCACAGGCCAAAGAAAATTGCCCCCTTGTTAAAGAAAAGCACTTAGATTGTGACTAGCAGAAACCTCTGTCTTTGGGGACTCTCCATCATAAGCAAGGGAGAAGGCACTTGCACAAATAACTCTGAATACCACACCTCCATTTCTATTCTGAGAAAGAACCTGGCTGAGCAGAAGGATCTTTGGAACAGTGAGATAAAATCCTTTCACTTCAAAGATGAGGAAACTATGTCCCAGAAGTTTCAAGTGCTTCTCCAATGTCACATGACTTGCTGGCAGAGGTGGGCCCAGAGCCCAGAGGCCTAAGCCATAATCAAATCCTCTTTAACCACCCAACCCACGGCCCAGCTTCCACAGGACTATTTTGGGATGTTTCTGTTTAGAGATCCTTGGGCTGCCTTTAGTAGTGGCCGTAATAACATCACATTTCCATGTGCTGTTTTGCTTTATTCTATGTGAGTGGACAAAGCTGAGTGTTCATGAACCCAAGAATGTACCATCTCAACAGATGTCTGTAGATTGTCACCAGTGAATCCTTATGAACCCAGGTCCATATTATGGGTCCTCAATTTAACTAGAAGGATTAGGGAGAATCCCATGAGACAGAGAGCCAGGAGGATAAAGGAAATTGGGTGTAGGAAGACGTAAAGTAGGTTTGGACCATGGAAGGTACAGCTACTTGTGCACAAAGCTAAGAAGCCATAATTCAGAAATGTCCCTGCCTGCATGTGGTGGCCACCCAGGAACTGTGAGCACTAAAATCACTGCTGTCCAGAAATCCAGTGCCCTCTGCACCGTGGTGGTTGAGTGTCTGACCTGAGTTGTTCAACCAGTTGGCAGCATTTGACCCCCGTGATCACTGCCTTCAGTGTTCCTGCACTCCACCGTGTGATCTGGAGGCCACACACCACCTGTGAAACTCATTCTCCTGCTCATCAGCTACCTCGCTGGCAGCTCGCCCTGTGCCTGGGGGAGCGGGCCTCACATCACCCGTTCACCTCCATCACACTGCAACAGGGAGCACCCAGGCATGATTGTCCCTCCCATCTCCCCATCTCTGCACATTCACCCTGCCCCCTCTCCATTATCTCCACTGTCACTCCTGAGATGACCTCACCCCACTCATAGCTTTACTGCTGAGAACTCTGACATTTGAAATGCTGTCCCTGTTTTATTTCATTGAACTAAAATTATGCCTATCCTTGTCAGCCAACTCCTAATCTTGACTCTGGGGCCATGGGCATTTCACTCATAACAAGCATAGTGTGAATTGTGGATTGCTCAGCTCCCAAACTGCTCCTCCTTCTGTCCTCCCCCAGCTGCTTTTATCTTGTCAGCCCCCAAACCTTGCAATACTCATAAGCACCTTTCTTATACAACCTGCTTCCAGCTCAGCAAGGCCGAGCTTGTCTCTCCTCGTGTGTCTGTCATCACTCATATGTGTCACTTTAATATTCCTGTAACTGGTGACAGTGCACAGCATAGCCTTGCCAGAAACATCTCTGACAATGCACAGCAGATCCTGTTGCTTTTGCTCTCCTGCTCCAAATATCCAATGCTTTTTCCTTCTGGGTCCAAGCCAGAGTTTATATCATGCCAACAGTTCTCAGCACGATTGGTAACTGACCTATCTGGCCCCTCTGATCTCACCGCTTTCTAGTTTCAACCTGTTTCTGGAATATTCCAGGACATTCTTGTTCCAAGGTCTTTGTACCTTTCATTGCCCCTACCAGAAACATTTATTACTGATCATTATATGACACCATCTCATTTATTGAGATTGAGTCTGTTTTCTGCCACAGATTTTCAACTCAATGAAAGGACCTTGCTCACAAAGAGTTCTATCTGCAACCCCCCAGAACAAAGCATGACCCATGATAGACCACCAACAGCATCTCCTGGAGAAATGAATGAATGAGTCAAGCAGCCAGCATCAAAGGGATGATTTACATCTCCCAGCCCTTGGAATCCTCATCAGCAAGAAAGAATTAGGACAAAATATCCCTAATTAGGTTCCTTCTCAAATATGCTAGAAGAGATAGTAAATGCAGAGAATACTGGAGATTGATCAATGCTTCTGCTTGGTTTTCTAGTATTATGAACTGTTACTATTTTTGCTAGTTTCCTTATGCAAGGGTCATCATTATTGTTATGATGATATTCAGCATAATGAAGAGTGCCCACCAGCTTCTACGAGCATTCATTGAGCTTCGACTATGAGCCAGGGATTTGACGGGCTCCTAGGAACCATGGAGAGTAACACTCACTTCCTTCATGGAGTTTATGGGATAACATATACCTAACCCAGAGCACAGCCTAGTGTGGTGGGCCATGGACTACATATAGAGAGACATTGCAGACCAAGTAGGGAAGATTTCGGGACAAGTATGAGAGGAAACGACAGAAAGTAAATTAATGGGCCCAGCACAGTGCCCTAGCAGCTAACGTCCTCACCTTGAACATGCCAGGATCCCATATGGTCACCAGTTCTAATCCTGGCATCCCCACTTCCCATCAAGCTCCCTGCTTGTGGTCTGGGAAAGCAGTCAAGGATGGCACAAAGCCTTGGGATCCTGCATCCATGTGGGAGACCAGGAAGAAGTTCCTGGCTCCTGGCTCCTGGCTTCCAGATCAGCACAGCTCCAAATGTTGAGGTCACGTGGGGAATGAATCGTTGGATGAAAGATCTTCCTCTCTGTCTCTCCTCCTCTCTGTATATCTAGCTTTCCAATAAAAATAAATACATCTTCTAAAAAGAAAGTAAACCAGTGAGCCGAATTTGGCTGTCCATCGGCTCTTACCAAGGTCTTTTAACCCAAGAAGAATATGCTGAGAATTATATTTTAGCCATATTCAGCTGGAAAGGGAATGTGTATGCTAAGCTGAGAGAAGTAAGGGAACATGTGCCTTAGCTGACATCTGGTTTTTCACGTGTCACTGTCATTGATGGGAGAAGTTACTTAACTTCTCTAACTTTAGGGGTCTTAGCTATAAACTGAATACCAGAGATAATCCTGGTGCTCACCATAGCCTAATATTTGTTTGTTACAGAATAAAAGAGATTCATATTCATAGAAGGTTTACTGAAAATATTCATATTCCAAGAATCTGGCTAGCAACTGACACGGGTAGCTCCTCATGATTCCTAAAGCATCCCGGGGAGTTGGGCTTGGCTGAGTCTATTCCACATGTGATGAAATAGGTCCAGAGCGATTAAATGACTTACTCGATTTCTCACTTGATTGACCAGGGAAGGGTTCAAATTCAATCCTCGTGACTGACTCTTTGTCAAATGTGACTACTATTTGAATTAATAGAAACACAAAGTCAGGGAGACTGAAGGCCTCCAGCACTGGAAAGGAGCCTAGATGGGATGTGGCCAGCTGTCTCCAGCTGGCTCGAAGAGGTGGAGCTGCTTGGAGCGCGAAGAAGCAGTGATGGTAACAGCCACTGGAAATCAGCTATGCTGTGGAATTGAGTTTTGATCGATTTTCATTTTGGGGTTTTGAAGAAAAAGGCACTGTGTTAACTTTGGGTCATCCTTTGTTACTAAATCAGAAATCTTCAAGGTGGAAACTGCAGCTACAGTAGGCTTTTAACTCCTTGAACAAAATTGAATAGAGCTATGTGCAATTCAGTGCTCAGGA